CTGGCCACTTTACCAAGCAGGATGCCTGTGGTCCTCACCTAATCTGGTGTCAATTTAAGGATTAGGAGTGAAAGGGTAGGAGCTGTCAATCTGGAGATAGCCTATGAGACTTCTGTGTGGGCACGGCCTTCTCCTGAGAATTCTGGGAAATCTGGTACTTCCACCTTGGAGGCAGAAGACACCTCTCTCTCTCTGCTACTCCCTGGGAGACATTGCAGAAGACAAGCTACATGGACGCAACCAGACCTCGGAAGTCTGAGAAGCCACAGAGAGACCCCTGCCAGCACTGAGATGCTTACAACGCCACTGGACCCAAAGACCTTCTACCCACTGGCTTGTGATCGTCCTGCATTTGGCTTCATTGCATGTGTTTCATGAGCCTGAAGAGGACTTTATAGATTGGTATCTGACATATGGGCTAATATCAGACTTATGGCCTTGGACTGGACTGGGTTGGGATGTTTTCTCCATGTTCAATTGCTCTTGTATATAAATCTGTTTCATACACACGTGTGTCCATGGATTTGTTTCTCCAGTCTACCCAGGCTGACACAATGTCCTTCTGCAGGACGGGCTTCTTCTGATAACATGTCCAAAGTAAGTGAGACAAGGCTTGCTATCCTTGCCCCTAAGGAGCATCTGGCCGTGCTTTGTCAGGACAGAATGGTTTGTTCTTTCAGCAGTCCATGTCGTTTCAGCATTCTTCACCGACACCCAGAGTCCATACGCATATCTCTTCTTTGGTCTTCCTTATTCAGTGTCCAACTCCCACATGTTCTAAATTCGGTGAGGGTTTCATCTTTGAGTGCATAGACAGGTAGACTACATCGAAAATAATTAAGATAATGCAATTACAGATGACTGTTTTGCAAACTGTACAGTTCTGAAATCTTTTTTTTTCATAGTTTCTTTCAAAAGACGTGAATAGTCCTAGCCAGCTCTCACCTAGATGTCTGAAATAGATTCCAGACACTTCCCTGCCTCCAGTCTCTCACAACTGAAATTTAGTCTCACAAACCACCATCTGATCCATGGGCTACAGACAATGCCCCCTTTAAAAATATCTTAGAGAAATCTCATCCTGGCAGAAGGCATTCTAAACTCATTGACTGTGTATCTGGGGCGAAAGAAAGAGACACTGGCACAGGCAACGACGACAGAACAGCGAAGATAACACTGGGATCTTCAAAGATCAAAGGTCTTGGACACGTCAACTCACCTTCGGCAAGCAGTTCGAAAGCTCTGTGCTGTGTAAATTCTCATAGGTCCACCTGGTATATACACGCATCCATCTAGCTGGCAAGGATCATTGCATGAAGCTACTGCTATGTTTTCGGCAAGAGCCCTGGTGGCACAGGGCCACCAACCTGAAGGTCAGCAGTCTGCACCCACCAGATGAGGAGAGAAAGATGAGAGTGTTTGCCTTCATAAATATTAATAGTCTCAGTAGCTGTCTCTAGGGTAGCTGAGTCAGATTTGACCCGAAGACACTGAAACTACAAGATAAAATTATAATTACAGCACAGTCCCTTCATTTTGTGATTACATTGCCCATTGAGATCCAACCACCACTCACATCATCTGACCGAGGTGGTCAAACCTCTTCTGCTTATGCAAACCTTGAGTCAGTTCCCTTTAAATTTCAGCTTAAGGACCACGTCTTCTAAGAAACCTTCACTATTCCCCGAAGGAGACGAGGTTCCTTCCTCCCATGAATTCCCAGAACAGTTCGTTTTTCCTCCTCTCACATGTTGCCCCCTGGCGTGCTTCTCTAGACACCCAGTCTATCACCCCCACGGACGCGCGAGGGTCAAGCAGGCTGTCCTCCTGCTGGTTACTCCTGTGGGGCCAAGTCCAGTGCCTGATGAGACATGCACCCTCCGAGAGAAAAAGCAAGGAGTTCTGCCAGGTGACAGCTTGCCACCTAGTGTAACGTAAACGAAGGGTAAAAAGAGGCAAGGTCCTTAGTGACTGCATGATGTTCTTTCTCTGACAAAATATACCGGGCAAGCACTTTAAGGGGGCAGGGAGGAGGACGGCGCTTACCAGTCTTATAAAGGACATCAGCCAAAGATGACAAGCAACGATGAAATAGTTATTAGTACTTTATAACCATACATACTAGACATGTATGAAGCTTTCACCTTAAAAGAAAAGGCAATTTCGTATGATTCCACCTAGTACATTTCATATTTATATATTCTTTCTCTCTCTCTACCTTGGTCCCACCTTTCAAAGAGTTCCCATGTGGGCACATATATTTGCATGTTTTATTCACGGCTTTCACTCCATTGCCTGGGATACAATGGCACTCAGGAAATACTGCTTATTGGATTGAAGAATGAATGTACTAAGAACCTACTGTGTGCCTTACACTGTGCTATGTGAATGATACTCTGGACCCCATCGCCTCCCCATCAGAACATCCTTCTGATTCCCATTCTTCAGATAAGGAAACTGAGGCTTGGCAAGTCCACGAAGCTTGCCTACAACCAAACGTTTAACCACTACTCTATGCTACTGATAACTATGCCATGTGAATTGTCCAAATTAGGACTATCTTCTTTTTAGCATATATTTGACTGGTGTCGATGAGAGAAAAAAAAATCCTAAAAAAAAAAAATGGTGGTGGTGGTAGAGGGGAGAGGCAGATCCGGAGAACAGACCACAAGTTTCAGGAAGCCTTTACTCTGGGTGAAATGTAGCATGAAACAGTATCCACAAGTTATTCTCAGTCTTCAGACCCTCCGCCCATCAATTGTCTTTTAACAGAGCAATGTTTACTTGGAAACAAGGTGTTTCCTTGTTGATAGTTTTTGCCTAGGGCTTATAAATGAGCCATTCCCAGCAAACAAGAGAATGTTCTAACCCATTTTACCACTTTCTCTGAGGGAAACTTTGATTGTGTAGTGGTTACTTATTGGGTTGTGATATGTAAAGTCAGTAGCTCAAAACCACCAGCTGGCTCTTGGGACGAAAGTGGGGCTTTTTATTCTCATGAACAGTGATATTTTCAGAAACTCACAGGGGCAGTTTTATCCTAACCTGCAGGGGTGCTATGAGTCACCATCAACTTGATGGCCGTGAGTTTGTTGTTTGGTTTTCTGTGAATCAAGTGTCGGGGAGGGGACGGCAGAATTTTTAAGAAATCCTATTTTTTCTTCCTTTTTTAAATCATTTTATTGGGAGCTCTTACAGATATCATAACATCCCATAGTTCAATCACATCAAGCAGTATTGTACAACTGCTACCACAGTCAGTTCCAAAACATTCTTTCTTCTTGAACTCCTTGATATCAGCTCCCCTTTGTCCCCTCCCGCTCCCACCCTTCCCAAATTCCCATGTCTTCATGTGTGATACAAAGACATTCCCCTAATTTATCAGCGGTACTACAGTGTCAAAAAGAACTACTAAATAGAACTTTTAAATTAGGGAGCTTTAATTTTGAAATCTGCTGATGTTACTTATTTCCACTTCACCCCAGTATAGTTTACCTTTCAGAGAGGGAACTGCGTGACCTGGGGCCTGCTTCTCAAGAACAATTGTCATTTTCTATTAGTTTTCCATTCTTTTTAATGGCATGCCTCTCAGGTCCCATAGAGGGCATTCCTAGAGCAGCTCATTAGAATTCCCAGCCTCACTGAAATATCCTTTCCCCTCAGCCTGAGAAAACTCAGTTCACTTTCTAGGACATGGGATCAAATCAGTCCCAGTATATAGTTTCTAAAAGTGGAATAAAAGAGAAATTATTTCCCAAACTCTGTCAAGTAAGACGCACGGCTGTGTGGTCATAAAAACAGGGTGACCCTCTCGGGTGACTGAAGACATTTACAACAGAGAAAAGTGCCAATGTTTCTTTCTAGAGCTTATAGTCAGATCCTGTAAGTGCTAGGCTGCGCAAGCTCTAACTATACAGGACCTCAATTTAAGCATGACTTTAGAGAGAGATTGTTTCTATAGCTACAGACAGCATAGTCCCAGACAGTGGGAAGACGAAGGCAGAAGTCTATTTTTAAGATGACCCAGCAATCCCTCTGCTGGGCGTATACCCGACAGAGAAGTAAGAGCCATAGCAGGCACCAATGCAGACACTCCCATCATCATCATCATAGCAATAAGAAATACCCAAACACCGTCACTAAGAGAATGGATAAACTCACTTTGGTACATACATATAATAGAAAATACTATATACGCAAACAAACTAACAACAACAAAAAGGCTCAATGAGTCAATTCTGACTCATAGTGACCCTATAGGACAGGGTCAGACCAACTATATAGGTTTTTCTAAGACTGCAATTCTTTACCGGAATAAAAGCCTCATCATCCTTCTGTGAAGCACCTGGTGGTTTTGAATCGCTGACCTTGTGATTAGCCATCCAGCACATAACCACTGTGCTGCCAGGATCCGATATGCATCGCTAAAAACAATGATGAACCAGGAAAGCACCTCATGACATGGATGGACCTGGAGGACAGGATGCTCAGTGAAGTTAGTCAATCACAAAGGGACACGTATTGTGTGATACCACTAAGGATAAACATCAAGACAAAGCCTAATTTACTAAAGGGAACAGACTTTGGGGTTTCCACAGGGGGAGGCCTGGGAGGGAGAGGAAGAGTGGACTAGAGATCTGAGAGGTTTGACAGGTACTGACTTTGGTGAGAAGGAGATTGGAGGGCTGAATGAAGGAAAAGAGACATTAGGGGAGGGCAGTGGGTGGAACACTGGTGGGGGTATGATGAGTGGTTTGAACTGTTGAACACGGAGGTGATGGTCTGAGATGGAAATCTCCCACCCTCATAATAAATGGGGGAGAATCATATTAAAAATATGTTTTTAAAAGAGTAAATGTGTTATTTAGTATATGGGATTGTTCCCCTATTTCAGGAATCAAGATTTCCTAGAACAGCAAAAACAACAGATATGCTTTCTAAGGGACAGAGGGTGGTACCCAAAAAAGTACACCCTCAAGAAAAAGACACATAATTCTCACCAGTCTGGAGCTTCCCCTGTCAGGCAACTGCTTAATACCCACTTCCAGGCTGCCATCTTTTCCACTACTGGCAGGTTCGGTGCCACTTTGATCCTGTTGGCCATTAAAAGGGAAATGGCAACGATGTCATTCTCTAGTCACACTGTTAGCACCCTTACACACCCGTCATCAGAGTGGTTGTACCGCTGTTTCCTCTCCAGCAGTCATGCTGGTGCTCTTTGTCAGCTATCAGTCCTTCTGGCCTACAGACAGGCCCTAGCGGGAGATGAGCCCTATTCTCCAGTAGACTGCTGACTGCCTTGTGGCAAATGCCAGCCCATCCACTCACTCATTCCCCTTTTTATTTTGCCATTGAGTGTAGCAGGAATGGGCACGTGACCCAATTTGTGTCATTGAGACTCAGAGGTTTGTGGGTGATTTCTGGGAAAGTTCTTCCTTGATTTCAAAAGAGAGCCAAAAGAAGTGTCCATACCTCTCACATTAATTGAAAGCATGCGATCACAGGGAGCCACATATAACCTCCTCTCTGGGGGACGGGCAGCAGAGGGGTGGGTGAAGGGAGACGCTGGACAGTGTAATATAAGATACAATAATAATTTATAAATTATCAAGGGTGCATGGGGGAGAGGGGAGGAGGAAGGGAAGGGGAGGGGGAAAAAAAGGAAAATGAGCTGATTCCGGGAACCCAAGAGGAAAGCAAATTTTGGGAATAATGAGGGCAACAAATGTATAGATGTGCTTTACACAATTGATCTATGTATTGTAATGAATTGTATGAGCCCCAATAAATTGATTTTAAAAAAAATTGAAAGCATGTAACCAAGCCGCCCTGGGCAGCCATTCTAAAGCACAAGGAAAGCAACCTTAGTGAGCGTGAAGCCAACACTGCAGGTGGCAGAGCAAATATCAGGAGATGGAGAAACATGGTTCTTTGACGGTAAAGCTGGGCCACCAAATCGACCAACCCTGAGGTCCAGTTTTACCTTAGCCACCTAAAATTAGGGACTTAAGTGTGTCCCCCAGGGTGGAAAATTAAACTCTTAACCCCCATTATCTCTGAAGGTGGTCTTGCTTGGAAAGAGGGTCAGAGTCTTTGAAGATGTTCTCACTTAACTTAAATTTGTTCTAGGTTAGGGTGGGTCCTAATCCCAACTGACTGGGGTCCTTTAGAAAGAGAGAGACACATCCAAATGATGGCCATGTCAAGATGACTCTAGGTGCCACAGGGGCCTCAGGCTACAAGAAACCAGAAGCCCTGGAGGCACTGGGCTCCGAGAGGACCTGCTAACTGTAAGGCCAGTAGTTCCACCTGCAGATGATCCCTAAGAGAACAAAGATTAGGTTTTCTGCCTCCTGAAGCTGTATGGCCTTAGACACCCAGAGGGGAATTCGACTCTGTCCCATTGGGTTCCTATTGAGTCAGAATTGACTCTCTGGCAGTGAGTTTTCAGATTTTCCCTAGAAACTTAAGAGAGACAAGAAAATATCTTCCTCCAGAGCAGTTGGGTAGAAAGAACATGGCCCTGCTGACGGCCTGAATCTGGACTCCTGCGCCCCAGGAATGTGAGACAATACCTTTCTGCTGTTTAAAGCCACCCGATTTTGTGGTATTTTGCTAGGACAGCCCTTGGAAGTCATGGGAGTCACCAAGTCCTTGTTGTCCAACCAGCTGTTCTGTGACCTCCAGCCCACCCATGCTGCACCAGGGCAGAGGACTCCAAAGTGCTTGCGATAAGGAGTTGTGCTTATCTGGTTTGTTTCCGAAACGGATGGAGCTACGAAATTGTCTTGCACTAATGAGGAAAACCCTCGTTAATACTGTTGGAACCCTCGGCAAATACTGTTGGAACCAATGACTCAGTTGAAACTTTGCTTTCTTGCAAATTCTGCTTTTCAGAATGTCGGGGGTTTAGGTGGAGAGAAATGTTTTGAGAATGATGTACGAATGCGCTTTACACAATTGATGTGTGTATGGATTGCGATAACAGTTGTATGAGCCCCTAATAAAATGTTTAAAAAAATAAATAAATAAATAAAAATCAAGGAAGAAATAAAAAAAAATCCACTATATATTTAATATAATTGTGACATCTGGTAATAATAAGCCCCGCAGAGCTCAGCACAAAATGATTAAGGCCACAGAATACAAACGTTAAAAGCGGCAAAGCTAACTCCTTCTCCATATATGATCCTGTCACTAACAGTAAGAGTCTAAGAGTAAAAGCCTCCGAGTAACAAAGGAACTCGCAGCCATCAGGCCCACTCTGATACACAGTGACCCCACAGGACAAAGTAGAACCAACTGCTCCTTAAGTGCCAGACTGTGGCTCTTTCTTTACAAAACAATCTTACCGGGGGTCGTACAACTCTTACCACAATCTATGCATCCATCCACCGTGTCAGGCACATCTGTACATTTGTTGCATCATCATTTTCAAAACATTTTCTATTTGAGCCCTTGGTATCGGCTCCTCATTTTTCCCCTCCCTCCCCTCCCTTCCTCATGAACCCTTGATAATTTATTTATTTTTTTCATGTCTTACACTGACCAATGTCTCCCTTCACCCCCTTTTCTGTTGTCCATCCCCCTGGGTGGGGCGTTATAGGTAGCTCATTGTGATCGGTTCCCCCTTTCTCCCCACACCTTCCCCTTCCCCTCCTGGTATGGCTACTCTCAATATTGGTACTGAGGGGTTTATCTGTTCTGGATTCCCTGTGTTTCCAGTTCTTATCTGAATCTGTGTACATGCTCTGGTTTAGCCAGATTTGTAAGGTAGAACTGGGGTCACCATAGTGGGTGGGGGGGGAGGAAGCATTAAAGAACTAGAGGAAAGTTGTGTGTTTCATTGGTGCTATACTGCACCCTGACTGGCTCATCTCCTTTCTGCAACCCTTCTGTAAGGGGATGTCCAATTGCCTACAGATGGGCTTTGGGTCTCCACTCCATACTTCCCCCAATTCACAATGATAAGATTTTTTTTGTTTTGAGTCTTTGATGCCTGATACCTGATCCTATCAACACTTCGTGATCACACAGGCTGGTGTATGTTTCTTACATGTGGGCTTTGTTGCGTCTCAGCTAGATGGCCACTTGTTTATCTTCAAGCCTTTAAGACCCCAGATGCTTTATCTTTTGATAGCCGGGCACCATCAGCTTTCTTCACCACATTTGCTTATGCACCCACCAGACTGTAACTCTTGACAGGAGGAGAAAGGTCTTTTATCCACTGAGTGGCTGGCAGTTAAGAACTTCCAACCTGGTGGCTAGCAGCCCAGCTCATAACCACAACACCACCAGGGATCCTTTAATCTATCAATATACATATTATTCCAATTTATGCACCAACCACTAAAGCCAGTGATGAAGGATTCTATCCGTTTCTGCAGTCTGAAATGCATGCAATCAAGATGGTCCGTGGTGACTGGGATGCAGAACTTGGAAACAATGAGGAAGGCTCAGCAGTTGGAAAGTGTGGCCTTCGTGATAGAAATTAAGCTGGAGATCACATGACAGAATCTTGCAAGACCAGTGACTTACGCTTTGCAAATACCATGCTTAGGTAGATAAAAGAACCAAATTAAAAATACAAACCCATCAAGTAGGTTTGAAGATTAATGTGTTAAAATGAGTATAAACTGTCAATGAATATAACCACAAAATCAGTGAACAATTTTGAGCTTTTTATTGAGGCAGAGACTTTATCTTTGTGTTGCCTTATGTAATCCTTATGGTAAGTCTACGTGGGGATGTATTACTTTGATCCAATTTATGGATGAGAAAAATTATGTGCTTTAGGTCACTTGTTAGATAAAACACTCCTAGTCAATAAGGAAGGCCTCGTGGCATAGTGGATTCCACGCTGGCTGCTAACTCCAAGACCCCAGTAGTCCAAACTCACCAGCCAGTACTTCCACGGGAGAAAGATAACGCTTTCTGCTCTGCTGAGATCTGTTCAGATTAACCGTCTCCAGAAGGGTCGCAGGGAGGAGACGAGCCAGTCAGGGTGCAGTGTAGCAACAATGAAACATACAACTTTCCTATAATTCCTAAATGCTTCCTCCCCACCCACTATCATGATCCCAATTCTACCTTACAAATCTGGCTGGACCAGAGGCTGTACACTGGTACAGATAGGAACTGGAAACACAGGGAATCCAGGACAGATGATCCCTTCAGGACTGGTGGTGAAAGTGGCGATACTGGGAGGGTGGAGAGAGAGTGGGGTGCAAAGGGGGGACCAATTACAGGGATCTACATATAACCCAGTCCCTGTGGGATGGACAACAGCAAAGTGGGTGAAGGGAGACATTGGACAGTGTAAGACATGACAAATTAATAATAATTTATAAATTATCAAGGGCTCATGAGGGAGGAAGGGAAAAAATGAGGAGCTGATACCAAGGGCTCAAATAGAAAGCAAATGTTTTGAAAGTGATGAAGGCAACTAATGAACAAATGTGTTTGACACAATGGATGTATATGGATTTTGATAAGAGTTGTACAACCTGTATAAAATGATTTTTTTAATTAAAAAAATAAAATACTGATTAAAAAAAAAAAAAGATCAACAGTCTCAGAAACTCAAAGTGACAGTTCTAGTCTGTCCCTGACATGTCATTGAAATAAAATAACAAAAATCCTTATTTTTACATTTCCTAGCAATCTGGGTATAATAAGTTAAGGTGGTTCAAAAAATTTTTTTTTACTCTTCAGCAAGTGAGTATTAAAATGGGTATAAAATAATTGTTTCGTTGATGCTTCAACATTGAAAATGTAATATGGTGAGGCAGTCTAATTCCAAATGATTGCAAGCATCCTTTAGTATTTGAATAAAAACTTAAAAAGAATGCTTTCCACCCCTACATCCACATCTTACACCTTGAAACTAGAGGCACAAGTGAAGATGAATTTGTAATTCTAAGCCATGTCTCAAATGTGTCCCCTGCTCCATAGATCCGTCCCTTCTCCCTGCTATGTCAGGTGATGTTGAACTGGAGTCCAGTCGCAGTAGCTCTGGGTACAAAGAATTAAATGCTGCCCGGTCCAGCACCCTAACGATCCTCACAAATGCTGCTATGTTTCAGTCCACTGT